ATGAGGCCAGCGCTGCAGCGGGAGCACGATTCGGAACGAGCGGGGCCCGAAAATGAGGCCGGCGCCTCAGCGAGAGCAGCATTGAAACAAACGGAGCGAAAACCAACTCGGGGAAACCAGTGATGTAAAAACCAGTAGCGGGGGGGGAGTCGGGACACTCACAGGGACCGTCAATCAGGGGAAGAGGAGAGTAGTATTTCATATTGAGTAATGTGGAGGAGGAGCGGGGAGGGGAGGAGGAGGTGAGGTGGAGGGCGAGGGGGAGGGAGGGGTAGAAGGACGAGTAGGAGGGGGAGGGAGGGGGAGAAGGGAGACGAGGAGACTGTCTTCGCGAATCGGTCCGCCCCTGCTGCCCCGAACGCCAGCCCCTCGGGAGGCGGCATGCCAGACTCTGCTTGCCGAGCGTGCGGTTCGCATGCCATAGAACGCAGACTCGTACTGCCCAGACCCCCGACGCCACGATTTTCTCACAGCGTCGACCCCCAGAGGTCTCGACCCATTTCCCGGGGCCGGCTTCTCATCCCGAATCGCTTTTTGACGGCCCCGAGGCCAGGGAAGGGCACCCCGAGGCGGAAAATAGCGAAAGACTTCCCGTCGTGATTGTGAAGGCCTGACGGCCGGTGCCGCCGACCCTGAAAGACATCGACGACGACCAGGAGGGGGAGGAGGAGGAGGAGGAGAAGGAGGAGGAGGAGGAGGAGGAAGAGGAGGAGGAGGAGGAGGAGGCGGAGATAAGGAGGAGGAGGAGGAGGAGGAGGAGGAGGAGCTTTTTGACGGTCCCGAGGCCCAGGAAGGGCCCCCAGAGGGGGAAAATAGTTAGAAAAAAGCCTCCCGTCGTGATCTTTGTCACAAGGCGAGGGAGTTCTGGGTGCCGAGGGGCCTCCGGCCCCCATTCGCCGTGCCCAGGGGTGCGGGCGCGAGGGGCAGCGGCAGCGTGGTCGGGAGCACGGCGGCTTCCCGTGGTGTTGGCAACTCGAGATTCTCTTCGGGGCCTGCCTGGTGGCATTCGAAGGCCTCTCGGAGGGCCCTTTGGGTCGAAGAAGAAAAAACCACATAAACATCAACTGTTGGCGCTCCGCGGGGATTTCTTGGATCCGCGCTGGGACCCCATCCAGCGCTGGATTTCTCGGATTTCTTGGATCCAGCGCGGATCCGAGAAATCCGCGCGGAGCGCCAAAAGTTTATGCTCATGTGGTTGTTCTACTAAACTCGAGACTCCCTTCGTGGCCTGCCTGGTGGCATTCGAAGGCCTCTCGGAGGGCTCTTAGGGGGGCCCCCGGAGGATCGCGGGTCCGTCTGGGAGGTGAGGCTTCCAGCGGTCTGACGGTGGTGCGTTTGGGCTCCTCTTGGCGCCACCTTCGAGGGCGTTGGACAACCGAGTGCGACCTCCGAGACGGCCCGATGGACCCTCAACGTGGCTCCAGGACGCGTCCATGGGATGCATCACGACAGGGCATGTGCTTCCTGAGAGCCCTTTAAGGCCTCGGTGGAGCCACGTGAGAAAGCCCAGGAACGCGGCAGATCGTACAAGAATCCCAGAAGTCGAGGGTTGGGGGCTCCTTGAGGGTGGTTGAGGACTTGAGTATGCTCCACTCCGTACCCACGGTACGGTGTCGGATCTGAGGTGGCATGCGTGATTGAGCGAGCGTTGACGTATCCTGTGGATTAGATATTTGAGTTTTCTTCGCCCTGTCATATGGACGGTAGCCATGCGCGTCGGGAGCGATCGTCTCAAGCGGTTTCTGTTATTCAGCCTTCCTCTTTATCGTGGAGCACTTAGCAGGCAGTATGCCCCACTCGGGCGACGTTCCTATCGTATGTGCTCATCTTCTCCCTCGAGAAAACGAGCCCGCAGAGTGGGAGCCACGGTGAACCCTAGCATGTCTTTGGACCGTCATGGAGAGGAAGATAAGTAGAGAGTTGGAGGGAGAGGTGGATGAGGAGGAGGAGGAAGTTGAGGAGGAGGAGGAGGAGGACGACGAGGACGCGGACGGCGACGAGACGAGGACCAGACGGGGAAGAGGAGGAGGATGACGAGGAGTGTAGAAGGAGGCCTCTTGTCTCCCGGTGCCCTCTTGGGGACCTGGGGGCTTCCTGGAAGCCTCTTCAGGCCTCTTGCGGCCCTCTTGGGCCGTACTAAGGGCTTTCTTGGCCAGTCGGAAGCATTCGGAGTTGTTGGGGCCATCTTTGGGTCGTTGTAGGCCGTCTTGGAGGTCTCTTGAGCTTGGGGCTCTCTTCGGGGCCTGTCGGGCAGTCTTGGGACCCTATCGGACCGTGTTGGGGCCGTCTAGCGACGCTACTGGGGCCGTCTTGGTTCGTCAGATCCCCGAAACGGCAAGAACGCCAACATCTGTCGAACCCATAGACAAATCAACGAACGTTTCAATTGTTAGGGTCTCCTAGACAGCCTCTGGCAGCCCTCTTAGGGCCTTCTTGGAGCCCTGTGGAGCTGTATTGGGGGCCTCTTGGCCCATCTCGAGGCCATCTGGGGCCCTCTAAGGGCCGGCCAGGCCACCTTGAAGCCGTCTTGAGCCCCTAGTAGCCATCTTTGGCAGCCTTGGCGCCGTCTGGAAGGCCTGCGGTGAATCACCTGTGCCACCCGGAGCCACCAAGGACGCTCACACCCCGCAATTCGTGGAGCGTTGACACGACGAGCACTGGCAGGGATGCGAGAGCCCACTTTCCCTCCAAGACATAGCTAGTCCATCTCCTGCCTTTCTTTGCCCAACCCTCCGAGCTTCTGACGCGGCCAAGGGCGCCCGGCGCTCGCAGGCTCGCTCGCCCAGGGTCCGCTGCATTGAGCCCGCAGAGCGGGAGCCATGGAGGGCCCCCTTTTTGACTGCAAATGTGGCACTTTGGCATGTCGTGGGGCCGTCAGGGGGAGGAAGAGGCAGAGGATGAGAATGGACGAGAAGTAATGATAAGGAGGAGGAGGAGGAGGAGGAGGAGGAGGAGGGAAGGAGGAGGAGGGGGGATGGAGGAGGGAGGATTGGGTGGGAGGATGGAGGAGGGAGGAGGGAGGAGGGAGGAGGGAGGAGGGAGGAGGGAGGAGGGAGGAGGGAGGAGGGAGGACCAGGAGGAGGGAGGAGGGAGGAGGGAGGAGGGGAAGAGGGAGGAGGGAGGAAGGGAGGAGGGAGGATGGGAGGAGGAGGATGGGAGGAGGAGGACGGGGAGGAGGGAGGAGAGGCGGAGGAGGAGGAGGAGGAGGAGGAGGGAGGAGGAGGAGGAGGGACGGAGGATGAGGCGAGGAGGGAGGAGGTAGGAGGGAGGAGGAGGAGGGTAGGCGGGAGGAGGGAAGGAGGGAGGAGGAGGAGGGAGGAGGGAGGAGGGAGGAGGGAGGAGGGAGGAGGGAGGAGGGAGGAGGGAGGAGGGAGGAGGGAGGAGGGAGGACAGGAGGAGGGAGGAGGGAGGAGGGAGGAGGGATGAGGGTAGGAGGGAGGAGGGAGGAGAGGAAGGAGGAGGAGGAGGAGGAGGAGGAGGAGGAGGAGGAGGAGGAGGAGGAGGAGGAGGAGGAGGAGGAGGAGAAAGAGGCCTCTTGGAGCTTCTTAGCAACTCCTGGGGGCCAATTTTCGGCCTCTTGGGAGTTGGGGGGCTCTCGGGGTGAATGGGGGCCTCCTCTGCGCCTCCTGGACTCTTTTCTTTTTGGGCCGTCTTGGGCCATCTGGGGGCCCTCCTTAGGGCGCTGTGGGGCCGTCTTGGAAGTCTCGTCGGCTGCGTTGGGCATTCTTTGCCAAAGGCCACGAAGAAATCAGTGAATTTTGCTTGGGGGGGCCCTCCTGGACGGCCCCTTGGAGCCCTCTTCGGCAGTGTTTGAGGCCTACTGGGCCGTCTTGATGCCATTTGGGCCCGATTGGGGGCCATCGTTGGCGGTCTTGCCGTCTGGCGCCGCCTTGGAGGACTCCCGCGAATCCCGGGGCCGCCCAGAGCCACCCAGCAGCACTCCGACAACCGCCGAGAACCGCGGGGGAGGCCCGCGGGCTTCCCAAGAGCCGCGCGGGAATCAGCGAGCCCACCTTCCCCCTCCATCAGGCGATCGCAAACATGGATCCAGGGGGCGTGGATTAGCGACGGGTCCCGTTTCCGTGGGAAATCGCGGATTCCCGCCGCCGACCGAGGCGGCGCCGGCCGCACTTGGTGGAGGGCACCGCCCCCGATCCATGGACTTGGCGACCGCGCGCCAAATCCATGGATCGCTAATAATCCACGTTTGCGCGCCTCTTCCGCGTCGGAAGGGCGGCGGAAGGTCGGCGGAAAAAAAACGAGGCCGCCTCCGCTGGCGGAAGCTGGTGGAAGCTCCGCGGAAGGCGGCGGAAGTAAAAAGTGCGCCCCCAAGAGATGAAAACGTTTCTGGGCTCCGGGTTTCCGAAATCGCCCGCTTCGCCTCTCTGGCTCTTCCTTCTGCCCGCCCGGCCCTTCCGCTTGTCCTGCCCGCCGAGGCCACACGGCGCTCGCAGGCTCGCCCGCCTGGGGCCCGCCGTGTCTCGGCTGAAGAGCCAGCGCTCCGCGTGTCCCCCGCCAGTCCGTCCAGAAGCGATGCCCGGGCTATTTTCGGGAGATTGGACATCAAGAGGCATCGGGGGCAACGATAAAGGGAGGGATGGGCATCTGGGGGGGATGCATCGCCCCCCTACGCCCACTGATCGCCGGTAGGGGCCCGCTAGCCCCACCCCGCCCAAGAAGATGCGGATTCACTATCGGGTGCCTTTCGCCGATCTATCGACGAGGTATCGCCGATTCCAGGTCGAATCATCCCCCCCTGTGCCTAATTATCCCTCCCTATATCGTTGCCCCTCAAAGCAGAGTGAAGCAGAGAGGCTCACAATGGTGAGCTGAATGACCTCTGGGGCTCCTTGGAGCCATCTCGGAGCTCTCTTGGGGGCCCTTTCGGAGGCCTTGGGAGCTCTGATGGTAACCTTAGGGCCCGCTTGAGGCCGCGTGGGAGGACGACGACCAAGATGGGAGGAGCGTCAAGTCCCCCCCCCTTCCACTTCCCCCTGTTCCGGAGCGTGGAAAGCACCTCTCGGGGCTTCATGGGGGCTCTCGAGCAATTTTGGCTCACGGTTCCCCAGCGTGGTCGGTTCCATGGTTCCTGCAGCACTGCGTGGTCGGCGTGGTCTTCTCAGCTTTCTCGCCAGCAGGCAGTTCCGATGCCTGTGCTCTCGGTTATGCCGAGCACCCTTCCTGGAGCAATCTCAACTTACTGGGAAAGCAGACAGGGACTTCAGAGTTTCATAGAAGTACTTGAAAAAACTAGGACCGTAGATCCAAGCTTTTTTTCCAGTATTTCTATGAAGCGGAATGCGTGGAGTTCATAGCGCCTCGACTCGCCCAATACGGCGTCATGACAGCCATGCCGTTTGAGAGAGCAAGCGGTGATATCGCAATTAGTGTTGCGTGTCTCATAAACGGGACCAGGTTGATTGACATACTGGCCAGAACTTGTGGCTGGCGTTCGGTCATTGACAATTCGAATAGGAAGTGGGCGGCCGTGACATACTTGCTAGTTCAGCTGGACCCGCAGTCGCTGGAAATGCGCCTCGACATGACAAAGGTGAGGCTTGCAGGAGAGACGATTTTCCGTGAGTGCACTCTCGATGAAGCGATCCATGCCATCATAGAGTCCAGCGTGCCAACATTTCGCAGCCACGAAGCTCTACGTTTTGGCTTGAGTTCAGAACACGAGTAGACTTTCGATGCATTCATGACATGTAGATCTTTCTCTACCAGCCGTGGATGTTCGTACGACATGTACTCCGTAAAGAACTACACTGTTGTCAGTATTGTTTGCATACCTAGTTGTCGCCCATGCTCTGTGCAAGAGAAAAGTGCGTTCTTTAGGGAATGCCGCGGCCAATTCTGCAATCTCGACTTGGGAAAGTATGCCCACGAAGTTGATGCATTCGTAGTCCGAGCTAGATGTCCTGTCAGTGCTGCATTTTGAATGGGCTGGCATGTTTGGCTACATGAACGCTTTTCCTCAAAGCATCAGACACGTCTATGCATATCCTCCGCCGGCATTGGAAATGAGTGGCCATATAGGTAAGAACTTTTGATTCAATTCGTCGCATGTGATCTGGTTTCACGATTCCTGGGATGAGAAGGTGAAGCTTGCCACATTCCATCGAGTCCGAGATGTGATATTGCGCAACGTGGAGTCGTCGGGCGGGCAGCTTGTGCGGAGAGGAATATCAAGCATTACGTCCTCTTCGTTTCTCCTTTTCTTGCCTACTCCAAGCTGGAGTGTATGATCATCTTGCGACTATTGCTTGTTGCTGATTCGTATCCGTCCCCATTGGGTCTCAACGCAGCGAATCCGTTTAAGCAGTTTTAGGTGCAGCTTGCTGCCTTTGGCGCATACCGGCACCGTGCCTGGGTTGTTCAGCCACGCGCAGAGGGGGGTGGGGGGAGGGGGGAGGGCTTCTTAGAAGCATCCCTGCTTCTTAGACGGCGCGGGCCTTCTCTATAGATGTAAGGCCGGCGCCTTCTAAGAAGCAGCCTGCTTCTAAGAAGCCCTCCCCCCTCCGCCCACCCCCTTGTGCGCGCCGCCAAGTTGTGGGCGCGATGCGCAGTGCGAACATGGTCGGGAGTTCGGTCCGCGGTGTCTCACGGAGTGGGCCTCTCGTGATTATGGTCGGGGTCTATGTGGGGCACCTTGGGAGCCCCCTGGGAGATTTTTGGGAGCCTCTTGGGGGCCTCCTTGAAGGACTCTCGGGGGCCTCTTTGGCGCCTGTGGGAGGTATTTGAGTCCATCGTGGAGGGGAGGCTTCCAATCTTCTGGCGGTGGCTCACTTGTTTGGTCCCTCTTGGGGCTGTCTTGTGGGCCTCTCGGACCACTCTTGGGAGCCTCGGGGCCATCTTGGGGCGTCTCGGGCTGTCTCGGAGCCTGAAGACCGAAGAGGTCAGAATCTTAAAGCCATCTAAGGACTGTTCAATGATCTCGGACTGGCCCCCAGGGATCCTTAGGCCATGTTGGAAGCCTGGGCCCCCCAAAACGCTCCCGTGGCCTCCGTAAGCGTCGTGCGACAAACTCCGACAGCTCACAAGAATTCTGTGAGTCGTGGGTCTACGGCTCAGGGGCCCTGCAGACCGCATAAAAAGTGTGTGTGTATACACATGTATACCAATCTATTCACCACACGCACACACTTACACACCTCACGCTGAGGACAATTGAAGACCTGAGAGCACTCTACTCAGTGCCTGCAGCATGGTGGCGGATATAACGAGGATAATCGAGGTAGGTAGGCTGGGTCGGGAGGATGAGAATGAGGGAGGAGGAGAATGAGGAGAATGAGGGAGGAGGAGGAGGAGGAGGAGGAGGAGGAGGAGGAGGAGGAGAAAGAGCTTTTGCGCCAACTGCCCGCGCCAGGACACGCTCAGCGCGCCCCCGGACTACCAGAGCAGCGAGGAGCCGCTGCGAAGCCGCGGCCCTGTGCTCCCCTGCGCCCTGACTCCTCGGCGCCAGCGAAACCAGCCATCAGGGTTGTCTCTCGTTTCTGATGGGCCTGTTGGCCTGTTTTCCACCACCACCATAAGTTGGAGGGGGGAAGGAGGTGGAGGACGAGGACGAGGAGGAGGAGGAGGAGGAGGAGGAGGAGGAGGACGAAGAGGAGGAGGAGGAGGAGGAGGAGAGGGGAAGGAGGAGGAGGAGGAGGGAGGAGGAGGCGGAGGACCCCCTCTCCCCCTCCAACTTCTGGTGGTGGTGGTGGTGGTGGTGGAACACAGGCCTATCAGTTTCCCCCTCGTCCTCCTCGTGCCTCCTTTCCTCCCCCTCGAGTGGGAGGGGGTGGCGCCCTGCAGGGCCCCGGGGCACCGCTGCACTCGTCCTGCTCTCCGGGGGCCGAACCGTGCCACGTGCTGCTCCCTGCCTCCGCGCCGGCAGGGCGACGCGGCGGCGTGCGAGCCAGCCCCCATGCCGATTCGTGGAGCCAGGGCGCCGCTGGCAGTTGCTCCGATGCTCGGTCCACGAGCACTGGGCGCTCCGACGCCCTGCCTCGCCGTGCAGTCGGCTCCCGTCCCACAAGAGAGCGGCCTGCCAGCAGGAGCCCCACGGAAGTCTCTCGCCCCCCCGATGTGCCCCGGGGGGGGGGGCCACAGAAGCCCTGGGGCACTTCAGGAGGTTCAAAGCTCGACGACAAACGTGCCCCTAGACTTCTCGTATCAAGATTCATGATCGTACGTGTCTACTATTATCCGCCGCGTGCTGGGCTGAGGCCAGGAAGACCCGATCGGAGGGTCTGTGGACGTTGGTCTTGCCTCGGGCAGAGGAAGCCAGGGGGCAACGCAGCGTCGAGCGTCCTTCGGAGGGCCCCGCGAGGGAACGATTCCGCAGGCATCCCCAGAGTGGGAAGGCGCGAGGTCCCCAAGGCCCCCACTTCCTCATACGGAACTCCTCATCCTCTCTCCCTCCCTCCCTCCCTCTCTTCTCTCTCTCTCTCTCCCTCTATACATGTATATATTTGTTTGTTTGTTTCTCGCTCTCACTCTCTCTCTCTCTCTCTTTCTCTGTTGGTTCCTACTCGTGCCTGTTACCCCTCTACGCACGTGTGCCCGTAGTGATGGCAGGTTTTGCTTTCTGAGTTCAAGAACCAGTTTCCCGGAGTCGAAAACCAGTTTGTTTGATTCAAAGACCAGGGCAGGCCTGCCCGCTCCAGGTCGGGTGCCGCGCTCCTGGGCAGGTCTGCCCACGCCACGTCGCCATGTGGGGCGTTCCGCTCTGCCCATTTGGGCCTGCGACGCTCGTCCGCCCCCTCTCCCTGTCCTCTTTCCTTCTTCTTCTTCTTCTTACTATTCTTGTTATTACTATTATTATTATTATTATTATTATTATTATTATTATTATTATTATCATTTTTACCATTATTGTCATTATTATTATTGTTACTATTATTATTATTATTATTATTATTATTATTATTATTATTATTATTATTATTATTATTATTTATTATTATTACTATTATTATTAATATTGATATTATCATTCCTATTATTATTATGATTATTATTAGTATGATTATTATTACTAGTGCTGTTATGATTCATTATTGTCCTTCTTCATACCTCTTTCTTCTCTCTCTCTCTCGTTTCTCTCTTCTTCTCTCTCTATATGTATATATATACATATGTATGTCTTCTCTTCTTCTTTTCTCTCCCTCTCTCTCTCTCTCGCTTTCCTCTCTTTCTTTCCTCCCTCTCTCCTTTCCTCTCTCTCTCTCTCTCGCTTTCCCCTCTTCTCTCTCTCTCTCTCGCTCTTCCTCCCTCCGCGGGGCGCCCCTCCATCCCTCGTCCGTGAACGCGTCCCC